ATACCCGGGAATTTTAAACTATTTGTATAGGTATCCATTTAAAATTTTACTAATCGTATCCGTTCTAAACTCGTTTAAATACTCATTTAAGTACCCGTATTTAAACCGTTTAAATTTTTACTACCCATATCTGTCTAAAACTCATTTAAAGTACCTCTAAAACAGGTTGGATAACCGCAAATCTTAACTATCCAAATTTGAATTTATTTAAAATACATGTTTTACTAATAATGGATAGAGTATCCACTACAGAACGTGTTTAATATAACTGTTAATGAGTAGAGGGTATCCAAAGAGCTATACCCCTATCCTACCCTGTATCTGTTATGGATAGTGATTATACCCATATCCGTTACCGCTAGTAATTTCATTATCTATATCCGTTCCAAACCTATCTATAACTACCCGTATTCTCTTTAAAAAGAATCGGAGTAGAGCGAGTATCCTAAAATACTTATACCACTTTCATCTCCACCCCTTAAGGTGCAAAACAATGTATTAATTATTGAAATAGTTTCAAATTAATTCATGTGCTGAGAATTTGATATTTTGGCAAAAATTAATATTAATGTTGCTGCAAATTTTTCAGAATTAATTCGATTATTTTTTGAAATTTTCATGCTTTGGTTTCAATTAAATAATGAATCAAATAAAAAAATTAGAAAAGTTTTGAAATAGTCGAAGAAATGAAGAATACAGTCTACCATTATTATGGCCAGACTGCTAAGCTCCATGGGTCGCAAGGGGTGGGCTGTACATCGGGCTTGTCTCGATGTGTGCCACCTCCTTGCTCGAGCTCTGGCAGCTAGCGCAAGTCTTAGCTAGTGGTAGTTGCTGATTTTTGGTTATATATATATATGTGGACCTACGATTTTCTGACGAAACGGTCATCGTTCAAGCAAGGGACGAGAAACCTGTGATCTTCTGACTACATCGCGACTATTCTAGGAGCACAGGATGGCTATCGGAGACGGTAAGGTTTTAATAAATAAAAACCGTTTTTAGAGAAGATGACATATTTTACTTTTTGATGCCTCATTATTTTTCAGTTTTTCAATTGGTTCCAAAGTTTTTTAATTTGTTCAATTAGATCCTAAAATTAATTTTAATTAGATACATAAAAATCATTTTAATTTCATCAAAGTCAATCAAAATCTGTAAAGAAAGTCACACCAATTTTATAAAATTTGATGTAGAATTCTAATGGAATCCGTAAAAATTTTACAAAATCTTTTAATTCCGTCAAACTCGACAATTATTTTAAAATCTAACGCAATCCTAATCCAATACACCTCAGTGTTTCTCCAATTAATAAAATATTTCTTATTATATGCTAATTTAGGTAAATAAAATATACATACACACGAATAAATTGGAATCAAACTTATTAACCTCTCTTTTGAATAGGTTTACTTGCATGATAAAATTTAGACAATTAATGATACAATTAAAAAATATATATTCTCGAAACTTTAAAGGTTAGTTCAGTCTGTGAATAAATTTATTATTCATTTATGATTTTACTAATCATGACTTTTATTTATAAAATCAAATAATAAAAGAGATATATTTTTCCTCTTTTTAAGAATTTTTAATAGATAATTTATTTCTAATTGAAATAAAAAACTTTAAGAAAAAAAATCTCCAAGTGTGGTCCACCATTTTCCATTTAGAAACTTCCTTATATAGTTGATAATTGAAAATGAGAAAAGCTGAACAAAAATTCAGATGCTGAGTAGTCTAAATCAAGTATTGTCATATACAATACTAAAGATTTCAATGTCAAGGTACAAGTATATGAAGCAATATGCCAAACTCAACATCAAAAGGAAGGTAGGATTGTGATTCATCATCATCCATGTGGATAGGTTTACTTAATAACCTGTAGAGAAGCAAGCAGTGAGACTTAGACAGGGGACCTAAATGCCAAACTATGGACCAATTACAGAGTGTTCAAAAAAACTCAAGTCAGTCAGTCAGGTGAACTCCATGGACAGCCCACATGCTTCCTCACACTAATCACTAACCACAAACCTCCATAGATAGTTTTCTTTCATACAAAACAAAATATAAAACAAGGGCCAATCAAGTACTTCACACATTTAACATCAAATATTATATCAGACAGACAGACGGTGTTCGACAATAACTTTTTAAGTGCTTTTTCGCGATTTGACTATATTTTATTTTTTTAGTGTTCAGTAACATAGTGTTTGAATTTAATTTTTAGAGATTAAAGTAAAATTTTATATAAAACGTTTTGGTTTTAATATTTTATGAAGCGCTATTTTAAACAGCTAAAACCATTCAAATAACTAAGAGATATCAAAGTAACTAATTTTGTAAAATAAAAACACAATATAAATATGATTTATTACACAATTTGACTACCATGCAAGCCAGTTGTAAAAGCTACAAACTTTGGTTGGAACCCAACTGGTCTTTAATGGAGTTACAGTTGTACAGTTTTCAAGATTAAAAAAGAAAAACAGAGAAAAACAAAAATGGTCCAGTATTAATTTGGGTCCAAAAACCTTAAAGAGTGTATGGTCCCTAATAGTGTGTAGATGTTAGTTTTGTGGTACAGAAGGGTGTGGTGAGGTAGCAGTCAGTACTCAATTGGGTTCTTATTGGGAATCCATGTGATCTCCTCATGGGCTACAAACACAATCTTCTTTGCGATACTTATCACTGTTCATTTATTATTTTCAGATTGCAAGTCAATATTTATTTATGTATTCTAGCTCTGATGGATGCTTTGGATATTTATTATGGTTTCTTTAATAAAATATGAAAATGTTTTTTTTTTTTTTTTTTTTTTTTTTTTTTTTTTTTTTTTTTTTTTGGTTTATTATAGGTGAAGACCCTTTTCCTTTGTTTAGAAATTAAGGGACCAAATTATGTTCCTTTTTGTATGTAGGAAAATGAAAAATGAAAATATTTTTTTTCCCTTAATGGCCTCCTGTTAAATTATCCTATTCTTCATGGTCTGGTTTCCAAGCAACTAATAATTCAGCTTTTAAAGAATGAAAAAGCTATTCTATAAAATAAAGGACACATCATATGCTGTTTATGAAATTTACATTTCATAATTTAAAAAAAAATTATTACATACAATAAATTATCACACATTTGAAATTTAAAGTTATATATTTACTATTATTGCATGAAGTAACCAAAATAAAATAACTATCAAATGAAATATAAAAATTGAACAAAAATTTATTTAATACAAAGAATGCAATATAATTCAATCCCATATATTTTTCATTACTATGAACTAATGTTCAAATGTCTTGTTTTTATACAAAGAAAATTGGGTGGAGAGAAAAATGCCTCAACCGCAGAATGACACTATGCACTTCCTCTAAACTTCCTACATAAAATTTGCAGCCAAATTATGGCTAAAAAAAAAAAAAAAAAAAAAAAAAAAAAAAAAAAAAAAAAAGACCAAAGCAAAAACCAAATATGGATTTCACTAAGAATGCACACTCAACCCAAACAAAGAAGGTATTACCTTTCCTTTGCCCTCACAAGGATGGATTTACAAATCTTGAATATTTAAAAAAATAATAAATTTAATAAGATATTTTACATTTGGGGCAAGGATGAAGAAAGGAATTTGGAAAAAAAAAAAAAAAGATTTTAACTTTACAACCATCGTATCACTGCCAGAGAGATAATCATGCCTTACTTCAGACAAAAAAGATGAGAGCTGAGCTTTCCATTGCCATTACTCGCGTAAAAATCTGAAAGGCTGGACTCCCAAGTAGTTCCTCGCTGGGTTCAACATCCATTAAAATCTTTTCTCTTTGCCAGTGAATTTGGAAAGTCATCAATAGAGAATTGGTATGGCGTGTGTAAGAATTTACAATTTAGATGGTACCGAACGTACGATACACATTGAGTAAATCACCAAAAAAAAAAAAATTGCAGACTTAATAAATAGCTTCAAAAGAACATTCTACTTTTTCATTTCCACAGTTACCAAATTTTTAGAATATATGAGCAGCTGAGGAAATTCTTCACGCAGAAGTGTCAGTCCAACAAAAAGGAACTGCTAGCAGCATCATTGGAGTCCTCGGTCATGAGTTACCCTTCATGCTGGAAATACCTGAAGAAAGATGAAGGTTGAAGTTACAGAGCTTTGATCAGCTTGATAAGAACACAAACTCCAAAAAACATCACGTGCAGAAAACTTCTTCTCATATACATCTTACAGCCAGAGACACGCTTCGATGTTATAGTTGCATCCCAGTACCAGAGTACGATTTCTGTACATGGCTGCTGCTACGGCTCAGCGATCTAAAAAATAAAAACAATCATGTGAGAGGAGAGGCTTCTGCAACACCAAAAATACTTGTTTTTCCACGTTGAATTTAAGGAAAGGCATGAGAGATCCCAATAAAAAAATTGATGTCTAGAAGTGGGTCACCAGGATCAAACCATAAATAGCTACCCTTTGAAGTCGAGGTTGTTACCATTTTGGCAAACCATTTCAATTTGACAATTCAGAGAATCAACTGCCTAACACAAAATCTAATTCCCGTGTGCTCACTAAAACATAATATAAGAGTTGAGGGCAGGAGACAGAGAAGGAGAGAAGGAGAAGGAGAAAAGAGAGAAGGATGAGAGGGACTCACAGGACAGAGATCATTTGGATTTCATCATTAGGATATTCTATACCTTCTGATGTATAAACCTGAGGGCAGGACAAAGAAAATTAAGTAAGCAGCCATTTACAAAGTTCCTTATGTTAGAACTAAAAAGTTAAAATGAAGGAACTGGCATACCAAAAAACCCAAACAAGCCCTGTCGTTATGTGCTTTAGTTCATTCCCAAGATGCACCAGGCATACTGCATCAAAGGAGGTGAAGGAGATGAGAATCAGGGAAATTGTATGGCACAGCTAAGGGATCTAAGAGATTGCTAGGAATGCAGCATTATGCTTCAGGAAATAACAAGTATTAATAACAAAACAAATGAGCGCAATACAATGCTCAAAAGGAAGCAAAATCAACTACCTCTTCTTTAGGCTTGGCAACACATAGCTCTCTAAGCCTCCAGCTAATCCAGAATTTCACATATCACCATTGCTAAATGTACAACACTCACGGCGCAAAAAGAAGACGTAACATCACAGAATCCCATATTTAAGGAAACGTTTGGCATTAAGATGATAATATCACAAGAGCAGAATTACTTAATTACCTATTGAATAGTTTGTACATTGATGTATGAGAAAGTTTGGGTATAGATTCTTCTGGATTAAGAACTGGAGGCACCTGAGATATCAATAACAGTGAGGAATTCTGTGCATTTAAAAGACAATTAAACGAGTAAAAACAGTAAAGTTCATACAAAATTTGTTTCAAAAAGTTGCTGAGGAGAGTGTTGAGACTATCAATTATTGCTCTTGCCAATGGCTTAAAGGAGAATCTTTTACCAAAGGACCGCCCAGATCTGAGAAACAATTTCCCTTAATGTTCTTGGTGCCTAAAGTTTGGCATCGAAGGATAGCATTAACTTACAATTGCTGAAATTGGCATGAAGTGGAATTAAAAAAACAATGAGTTTCCACTTCAGCATGTCAAAATGATATGCAGTATACCTGGATGCATAATTGAAAGGATGATGACATTCCTTCTTTCAAGTTGGTCGCGTATATTCCATATATTTTCTCCACAATAATGCTGCAAGCTGTGCTTGAAAAGCAATGGCTGGGTATTTGCCTCTACCTGCGATATGTTCGGTGCAGCAGCAGCAGCAGCAAGGTTTGAAGAGCGAGGGTGAAGAGCGGAAAACCCTGGAATTGGACCAAGAATGCAATTAGGAGAAACAAAACCCTTACCTCAAAAGCAAAAAATTCAAATGTCATAAAAGAAACTGGATTAATTGAATAAAATAAGAGAATTAATACCATGGCCATCCCCCCAAACAAGGATGAAGCTTTCTTATTTGGAGTTGCACCAGTGCACCAGCTGCCTTCAGGATCCGTTGCAGCAAAAACAATAAAGTCGATGTATTTGATAAACCAGTAAAGCCATTTATGATCATTATCATCTTCATTCTGTATCAAGCAAAAAGCATTATCATTGGGCATGCCCTTGTGGCAACATATCGTTTGCACTCCACAGTTGCTTTTCCTTCAACAGCAAACACCTGAACATATTCAGTTAACCTCAATTTGGCAGAACCAATTCATTTGAATGAAAGATTCAAACACACTTTGTTCCTTTCCGCTTCAAAATGATTTTCCAGTGAGAAGGACAATAATAAGGTAAATGCCGCAACAGGTTTTCCATGACTATAGCCAATGTTAGTCGTAACGCAACTAATAGAGCTCCAATATTTTCCTGTTGCCAAGATAAGAAATCCAAATTGTGTAAATTTTCAGGCTCCACATTCCTTCTTAAGGACACATAATAGATGAATCAAAAATAATTTTGTTGCACATACCATGTTGACGTTCAATGTGGGATTCTCCTAAGCTTGCTATCTGACCTCTGTGCCAAAAATACCTACAGGTGTCTGTGGTTCCTGCAGAAGAAACCCCACCAACAATCATCAAACAGGAAGCAAGTTTGAACTTATTTACATTGTAAAAAAATCCAAAATTGCTAGAGGTTAGATGATCAATGGAATAGATACATTGGCTTTTGCCTCTTCATTCACAATTGGTGACCATTTTTTCCAAACTCTGAAATAAAAAAGGAAGGTTAGCATGAGAGAGGGGAAAATGGAGGATCAATCTTGGCAGAAATGCAGACTGGGTGCTTGGAATCGGAGGGCGCATCTGATGTCTCTTACAGGTGTCTGGACTAAACTTTGCTGCCGAAGAACTTGTTTCTCAGTTTCCATGTCCAGAAAATCTTTTCTTCCAGCCTGGAAACAAGTAAACAGATACAGGGAAAAAAAAGGATCATGGAGATCAAGGTATTAACAGGATTCACAGGATAATCCAATACACACACACACATTGCAAAAAACAATTGTTGACATCTCTCTGTGTATGATTAAACATGACCAACAAAACCTAATGCATTGCAGTCTTCAGGTTCAACATAATTTAGACTCTGCCTCCAAAGCTTGCTTCAAACCTTTCTTCCACTTTATTTGTTCGGTGCTCTTTCAAATTTTTCTCTGTTTCATCAAAATTTCTGTTCCAGATGAACTAACCAAGGCCGTGAAATTTATCATAAGAACAGAATCAATAGTCAAAAAATAAATCAAAAAAGCATGTTCTCGAAATTCGGACACTTTTAGATCTCTGCGACCATACATGGTATAAAGACACCAAAAACCATGAGCCTCCTACCTTGAGTTTCTCATTTCTGTAGTAAGCTTTCCAGCATTGCATTGACAACTACAGAACCTCCTGTATTAACAGGGACAATTTCTGGACCTTTGGCCGCCTCCTGATTCCTTTATTGAGCATTTCCTTAGTTTCTTTTGAACTGAAAGCTGGGGCATTTCTTGTAAAGCTAACTGTGTTTTTTGCATTTTTTCTTGTGTTTTGTTTCTTCCAGATCAAGGCCTAGAAATGGACAAATCATGTAAAATTTTGAGAAAAGAAAACAAGAGTAGGAAAAAAAAAAAACCATTTTTATTACATGACCAAACAAGGAATTAGGGACAGACTAGAGGGTATCCCCTCTTCTAGTTCTATAATGATTCATTTTCTATATATTCGAACTGAACACCGAAGCATTTCAAACACACAAGCTACTGAAATATATGGCCATAATAAAAAGATTAAATAAATGGTTTAAGAAAATGAATTAATTTTTAAATCTGAAGATCTCAAGAAAGAAATTGATGAGTTTTATGATGGAAACAAGCATCATATCTGTTTATACACAGAAATTTATCCATATATATGCTATATATACCCTCATGCGTTTCTCCAGCTGAGGTCTCCATGTTAATTCTTCAAACTTGCCTTTTCTAATTATTTTTGGCAGCTTGAGAGCACCAGTTTCCCTTGCAGCCTGATAAATAAAAGAACGATAAAAGAGAGAAAAAATCTACATTTTACATGCAAAACAAAAATTTTAAACTTGACTTTTAAAAGGACTGCATAGCCTCCAGTTAAAAAAAAATTAACAACAAAATAAAATGGAAAGGATTTAGTAGCACAAAAATGCTGAACAATGTTAAGCAAGTCCCAAAATCAGGCCAGAGTGAATAATTCAAAAAGAACGTAAAACCAAAAATGTTCAAAATAATGCAATTTAACAAAGCATTTAAGCCTTCCTAAGCAACTTTCCAATTCTAAAACAAGTTTTTGCTAAAATAAAGGTGTATGAAATACATATGGCCCATTCTTTGAAAGTGATAGATGACGTAGCTTGTTTTGGGCCTCTTGTGCTATCAATGGGGAAATGGATCATTATAGTTTTAAGAAAATAACAATGTAAGATTGTTCTTTCAGAGCCAAGTTTCAGTAAACTGTTTACTGTGATATATGAGTAAAGCATTTTATTCATAGGCAGAGGACTCGTCAGAATAAAAAAGAGACAAAAAGAAGAGAAGACTTCCATCCTCAGCTGGTTTCACAATAATTTCACAAGATCAAAACAACAAATTAAAGGAAACGGGAGGAGCTGAACCATTCTTAAGTTACGCAGTTCTTGACGAGCAACTTTCCCTCTCCATGCCACCCACTTAGTGTTGTAATTTGCTGCCTTCTTAATTTGCAATAATGTAACCGGGCCAAGTATATTGCGACATTGACTCTAGGGTACAGTCTGAAACAAGGGGTGATATTCAGTTCATTGACACAGACAGGCTTAAAAGAGCATCAGAATTGTTGAAACAAGTCCTCCAATGCACAAAAAACTATAACAAAAAATCGTACTTCATGAAGCCAGCAGGTGAACTGCCCCAGCCACCAGAATAATTTTTACCTGAATTATTAATTGGCCTGCTCTTTAGTCTGCCTTCTGAAGGCGTAATTCATCCCTAGGCACCATCCCACGCATAACCCGGTTTGAATAGATATAACCGAGGCAAGACAATTCTGTATTAGCTTTTCCTTGCAAAAATGCATTCGCAGATATGTTTGATCTAGAGAAGCAGCCTTCTCCGGCTGTTCTCATAAACTTGCCGAGAAGTTGTCCTGCATTAGCACAGACAAATAAATAGAGTTACAGCAATTCTGATTTCTAGGCAGACAGCAATAACAAACTACTAAAAGGACAAAGCAATGAGCACCTCTGCATTGCTGATTGCAATCTGTATGCAGATCGACGGGAGCTTATAAAAAGTTCTGCGAGACAGTAAACCGCACTTTCCTTTGAAAATTTAATGCTCGCTGATCTTCCTAACACCCTCCACTCCTGCGACATCCAGCTTCTGCCATTTGACCAGCCCTAGGAACAACCTTTGTACCAATCTTGCCAAAAAATCAAAATTTGGAAATAATATTTATTGCCCAAACCAAAAAGGCCTTTCCTGAAGATAAAATTTTAAGTCTTGCGGATCCAATTTGACTCCCATAGCAAGATTTTTAAAGAAAAATGTTCTAGCCACCATCCAAGCTAGGTCATTATTATTCAAATTAACAATGAAGAGCAACATTGTTAAACTTCAAAGCATTTACTGCCGAAACGGACATGAAACCATTGCCAAAGGTAGATGACAATAAAAATCCTAGTTATATCGACCCATGGGCCTACACTCACAAGAAATTCACTAGAAAATTATACAACTAAGTGAACGGATTGCATCTTAGAAGAGAAATCTGTTCATGTCTCAGATATTCCCTCGATAGCCTTTTAAGTCCGACCTTTCAGAAGCTCTTGCACAGCAGGCAACTTCATCAGAAAACTGACAGAGAATTGCATTACAAAAGCATCAGAAATCTTCAAGGCTCAGCAAGAAAATCTTAAAACAGACACGGAAGAATCAAATACCTTCCATCCAAAAACTTCTGGTGCAATGGATTTCCAAATCTGTCTACAATTCATCAAACTGACTTTTCGAGTAGGGTTACCTGCACAACTAATCCTAATTGCTTCATGGGACTCCCTGGAAAGAAACAAGATTAGATGTGGACTAGTGTATTCAGGCAGTTCCAATTACAAACTTAACATAGCTTGCAAGATTCAGAATAATGGACATTAACCAATCTTACCCCACATCGTAACTGTTGAAGAAACATTTTATTCTCAAAATTGCGGGCTTAAGGAAGATTTGTTGGGCTTTCCACAGCGAATGTAATGTGGCTCTGTTGACTGAGAGTTCTTCAAGCAAAGCTTGTAGGTGTTGCTGCATTTGAAGTAAGAACAGCAACTCACAACCATGAAGATGAAGCACATCATTTGAGGGAAAACACGAAGAAACAATTACATCATACCTTAAACCGAGACACCTATTGAAGAGAATTTTGACTGTTCGAAGATTCTTCAGCTTTAAAAGTGGAAACAATCCTGAAACAAAAGGAACATTTGGAAGCACTTAAGAGTGCCTGATGCTCAGCAACAACATAGTCTTTTGTCTTGTCCAAAAACAGTTCAGTTTTGATACGTGAACCTGATTAATGAGTCAAAGCTCTATCAATATATCTGAAAATTCAAAAAATTATTATTTCGGACGCCAACCATTGCTGAACCAGGACATTAAAAATGCACTTACATCACCAGCCATAGTGGGCATATTGGAAGTCACTCGAGCTAATTTTGGCTGACTGAACCGTTTATGACTTTAAAATGTCTGGTATAACTTTTTGAGCAAAAGTTTCATGTGTTTGAACTCTTGGAAACATACTAGGAAAAAACAAGGTCATAGTTGTTGTGACCATGCAGAAAAAATCGATTGGGGGAGAAGTTGAATAACGTCAAAGATTTTATTGAAGCAAGTGTGAACAGTAGCATTGCTATATGCTTACCATGCCTCATCCAGAGCGCAATTTATGCCCACCGGGTTTTCTGAAAGTAAATTAAAAAAAACAATAAATCTCAAAACAATCAAACACCCAACCCAAAAACCACATATTTTTGGTGTTGGGGGATGAATTATTAGATATGTCTATTTTAGTTCCATCCTGATCCAGCACAATCCCAAGGATGGGATTATCAACATTTATTGCAATTAAGAAGAATATTATAGTTCGAAGATAATAAGGCAAACAAAATACAATATCTTAAGAAGTACATTGACATGAAACATCACCAATTAGACTGCAGTTGTATTTTGATACAAGCTCTAATCTGACTATTTTTACCATAACTTAATGATTTAGAAAATCAACTACATTGTCATCAATATAGATTTTACAGTATCACTTCAAGCTAGATCCGGGAAAGTTACAGCAGAGCAGGATCATGACAAGTGTTAGAAAGAAAAAAACAAACCTTTTCAATGAGATTCCAGAACATTCTTGGATTATCAACAAATTCAATGTAGCTCCAATTCAATTTCTTCTTTTGTATATTCTTCTTGCCATTCTTGAAGACATGCTGCAAAGAGATATTATGCATCTTTAAGCAGTCAAGAGATGAAACACAAGAGGAACCTAAACACAGTACCCATCAACTCTACAAATGTACCTGATTAAAAAATTTGCTGAGTTTTTCATTCGTTCAAGTTGATGCAAAATTGCTCAAACTGAAAGGAATCAAGTAATATCAAGAATCAGTTGAAAGAATGAAACGAGCATCCAAAAGGTTCGGCTTACTGCTGACCGATTCAATTAATTTGATATCCCTCTATTGTGCCTCACAGAAGAGAAGCTAATGACTTGCTATACACTGCAAATAATCCTTCAAATAGTTAAGTAGCTATATATGTTATAGCCACCTAAATATAAGCGATTAACCAGGTTATCAGTGCTTGGAGTTGCCCACTATATGGAAAATTAAACCCCTCCCACACTGATGCGTTCAGGGAACCCCGGATATGCTAAATGGAGTTGCATGAACTTAGTTGATCATGAGCAGTAAAGCTAAAGCCTATAAGATAATGATACTGCACTTACCAGAAATCTCTTGATTTCTTCCTCAACTAAATCAACATGAAATAGAGTTTCATTATCGACAAATCTAAATATCCTCTTTCATGCCAAAGCATCCTACCCCTACATTTTATGCACATTTATGGCCTCAAGACATTTGATGTGGCATTTGGATACCCTTGGAATGGAAAAATTTAGTTCTCTTTGCAGAACCAACTTTTTCTAATAATGTAAATAAAAGGCCTACCCAGTTAAGCACACTGTTTGTCTTGAAACTCTCAAAAATCCATAAATATTCCAGCACCACCATCAAGAACTTCGAATCAGGTTCTTGACCAATTGAAACTGTTAATCTTATCCACCACAGCCTTAAGAAAGAAGGGAGTATTATTTAGAGATGCTTAACAACAGATTCCAATGCTCTACATGCCAAGTTTAGTAAAAAAAATGACAATGTAAACAACTTATATGCGAGAACGGAAACACCAATGACTTAATCGTGTTTATTGAAAGTGAAACCTTACCAATCAAACAACCTTGAGTAAACCAATTTTAGCCCAATGCATCTTTCTGCTAAGTCTGCAGCAGATTCAGGATCTAAAAAAACCCCCAAAAAAACTTTGATAATAGTTTCATACGAGTCACCCATTACACGTTTGCACAGGAGAGTACTTCTAGTGCCTTCAGATCCCAACCTAACAATATTGGATTTCAGAAACTCCGTATCCTTCCGTTATGAAAATATATTTGGGTTCGCAATGTTTTTAAAAATAGCATATCTATTACAATTTACTGGATGGATATGGTTAAAATCGAAATTGCCATTTACATTAAAAAGCTCAGCAGCAGTTCTTTTAGATGAAACCAAGACTTTTCATCTTTAGGCATCGATTGAGTCTAATTCCTTCCCCTTTTGGCCAAATTCAACATTTCCAAGATGGAGGATTTGCCAGCCACAACTCGAAATATGGCATCCTTGTTCAGGTTAACAGAAGAAAAAAAAATAGGATTTTTATGGGCATCCTGCTCAAGCTCATGAAATAAGCTTCTTATACATACCTGTTCATCAGAACTTATTCCAACAATTTCCATTGCCCTCCTCGTTGCATGTTATCCTTAGAATCATCAACACCATCCAATTCGAAGCAATTTGATTGATTCAGATAATGGAATGTTCTTGGGGTTTCCCAATCTTGTATTTACTGAAGATTCCTGATGAATGATAAAGGGAAAGAAACAATTGAGATGTTCCTAGAAGTGAAAAAGATGAACATTGAAGACTACATCCAACCTTGAAACAGTAACTTTACTTAATCACTTTCACTTCCGCCCAATATATGGTGCAAAATGTGTTGCTAAACATGAATCACGTTTACTCATGTCAACAGCAATTAGGTAAGGCAAACAGATATTTTACATTAGGTTCCACTAAGCACAAGGGAAGGAAGAAAGGGCCATACCTCCGGTGGTGCAGCACCAAAGCATGTAGAAGCAGTTGATAATTTCTCTTCAGGATCAGAAACCTTGACCAAACACGTGATCTTTTCCAGCAATTTTCAAGTTCTGATAGCAGCTCCTGAAATCCTTCCCCTCTGATTCAAATGAATCTCACAAACTTACCAAAAACACTGCAGCATTCACAGATGCAAAATTGAGAATAAAATCAATTAAAAGCATGTGATGGCATTACCACTACATGTGAAAGTTTTTCCTATTAGATCTTCCCAACCTTGAGGTTATTGTTATCTTAACAGTCTTAGCGTTACCAAATGTGCTTCTAAAACAGGATTGGACTGCAAAATGATTGAAAGGGAATACAATGCAATACACTGTCAATCATTTCTGATTTCTTAAATTATTTGTATCTGCTAGTCACAGAAGAAAATATAAGAATAGGTCACCTCCAGGACTTGCTGCCTCAACAGCCTCCCCTCAGCAGCAGCTCTCCCTCCATTAAGCAAGATTAACGCATAAGTAATTTTTGTGCTTTCTGGTTTACCAGCCCCACTCTCACCAACTAACTAAAATTGACTGACTTATCCCTTCGTTGATCATTAGCCTGCATCCACATGTAAACAGCATTTTCTTTTATTCAAATGAGGTTCAAAAAGGGGAAGAAGATGAAGCTGCTAATTTCCCAGGAAAGAACATTGCCTGTACGCAGCATCTGCAACAGCCAAACAGGTGTGGACTCAGCCTCCCGAAGCCTGCCCCTTTATATTTGTCGCCATTCATATGACATCATAACAAATGTGGTAACTTTCTAAAAGGATTCACGCAATTAATATGTTCCCTGTGTAGGTCTGGAGGCCATGATTTAGCATGTTAGCCAGATAGAGTAAAAATCGTGGAAGACTTATGGAAAACCAAAACTAATACAACCATATAGAAACCATAAATCATGCAATTGAAGGATTTCAACTAGTTCACATCCAACCTCCAATGTAGCATTGAGAATGATAAACTTATATGGCTTGCTCACAAAACTCACATAAATTTCATTCATATCAATATCTTGATCTTTTAAAATTCTGCAAGACTCCTGGTTCATTGCAAATAAGCCAGTTTTTGTCATATTCATCCACTCCACAAAGGTGGGGGCTCTTGCACTCTTTTGGATAAACATTGGAAGCTTGACAACAACCTACAAATCTTCCCAAATTTTTTTTTTTTTTTTTTTGGGAGGGGGGTACAATAGTAGCATCAGATTAAATGTTTCATCAATAAGAAACAAAAACAAAACAACTAGACATTGATAACAAGATTGAAATAGGTGGAATTGTCAATCAGCAGTTGACAAATCATTGTCAAGATTGACCATATATTAAAACGTAGGCATTTTGGAAGGTCAACTTCAAGCCCCTTACCGTCTTTCCCGATGTGCAAACGACCTTAATATTTTCCACCATTAATCTCCACAACTTCACCGTCAAATCCAAGCTGCCGTCAGGATCTTCCAGCCAAACAAAGAAGATCCAACCATAAAACTGACAGCAGCAGCCTGCAAAACAAAGGGGTGTCGAAATTTACTGCCTCAATGCAATGGTTTATCAATTTTATAGCCATACACAAGATTTAAGCATTTCATTTCGAGCTGCAAGCACTTTCTTTTTCAATTTCTTACTTCAGTTATTGAAATGCGAAAAAAATTTCTTTGGTTTTAGTCTCAATGAATGTACAGACCAATTTCCAAAAAAAAATTATAGGAAACTCATCCAAAGTAAATAATGGATAAAAGAAGTTCCAGGTATCACCATTTCATGCACTTATGCTCCAGATACTAAACTTCTACTTGTACTTATGCTTCCAGATACTAAACTTCTATTGTTAATCACAAGGCATACAACAAATTCAATAATGTGTGTTTATCCTCCATAAAATATATTCCAATTTGCACCCCACATTGAGAAAAGAGTGCTGACTAGCAAATGACACATATGTTAGAGGTAGCAGGTAAATAACTCATTCTTTCCAAAGATGTATGTGGCACTATTGAAGAGAAGTTGAAAAAAGGGGAACTTGTGATGGTTATGACATAGGAAATTGCAGGGAAAGAAATCACCAATCTGGATGTTAAGCATACCAGAAGATGTAGAAATTTAGAGTGCAAGGGGCAAAATTAAAATGACTTCTGAGGGAGTACAATAAGGAATTAACGGTGGAGCCCTAGATTTTTCTAAACTATGGCCCTAGACCAGTGAATGTAGAAAACAATTCATCTCTATTTCATCGGTAAATTGGAGGGCCATAAATCCAAATTTCATGCCCTAGATCAAAAAACGCAAATTGGTTAAAACCAACTACACCAAAATTTAATGAAGGAATTTCAAGTTACAAGATGAGTTCATTTCTAGTGAGTGTGAATCTTACATTTAGACACACTAGGAACTGATCTTACCAGAAACATATGCAGTTAAGGAATCGATACCAATAAAATGAAATATCTTCTTACCGAATTGAGAGGAAGCTTTTAGCCAAACATTGAATGAACAGCATTGTAAGTATGAACAAAAGAATTACAAAAAAATTAAAATGCCATAAGAATATGCAGTGTTACAAGCTTCAAAACTCAGTAATTCTGAACTCAATCAGTAAAGTTTATTAGTGATTCCCCCAAACTGAAATAGTTGTTTAAGCTTCTGGAAACTTCAAGGAACGCAGTATGGTTGCATTTTGCCAAGCACTGCTCAATGCTTTTGCAATGAAAATGGGGAAAAAAGAATTGATACAATTATTTCATGTGGTCTATCAGATTTGTAGGAATTAACATTAATTGGATTGACTAAAGTCACAATTAGGTTGGCCTGATTTATCAAAGCTAACGCATATAAAATTGCAAATGCTAATGACTGGAAGAAATCCAACTTTACTAAAAAAAATTCCTACAACTTTTGGTCTGGTTCCTCAATTAGGGTCAATATAATTTGTACCAATTATATTAACATAACCTGTAATATGAGTTGTTAATTATAAATGACCTTTATTATGAGTGTTGATTATGACCAAAACTTTGGGAGGGCATGCACCAAAACTTCTCAAAATGGTTAACATGGCATAGATTACCCCCAAAAATATTTTCTAAGAGCATAATCATATACACATTTAGGGTAAAAAGGGAGGGATGGTACTTGCTAGAGAGTGAGGACGCATGTGAAAATTACAAATTTTCTGTTCACATTTTTTAAAATATTAAATAATAATCACATTTAAAATATGATTAATAATTTCATATGGCTTTCCACTTAAATACATTCACATTATATGGTTTTTTTTTTTTGAATGAAATATATGCCCACATCAACTATTTGACAGTTTAGACGCGTGGAGTTCCAAGTCTACCAACAATACCCAATATTAAAGCTTACTTGATTAGTTGAAAAAATTAAAGATTGAACATAATTGAAAATCAGACCAAAAGGTTTTGAATTTTTCTAGTCATTAACCAAAAATCTTAAAAATAAAAGGCCCTTGATTCCAGTGCAGTCTCTTATTCCATTCAGTAAAGCATAAACCCAATTCACATTTGATTCATGCTAAGCCAAAATCATGAATAGCTGACACAGTGCTGAATAGGTACCATTTCTCCAATTACTTAATTACTAATGCCTACTAGACTATCATCAAGCAACCAACAAAATGTGAAATGCCATTGGCAAAATAGCTTAATATCCCTGGACCAAAACATTTCAATTTCATTTTCTATAACTAACTTTGCTCTTCAACATTAGCGAAAGAAGAATCTCAGTTCTGTACTACTCCTTAAACCAAAATGGGCACATGGAAGAACCACCATAGATGCACCATATTCATTAGATTCGCAATCACAACATCAAAGCAAGAGAGAGAGAGAGAGAGGAGGAGAGAAATGACAATGCGACATAGCATCTACTGTTAGCTCCAGAAAGCACCAGATCAGTAAACCCAATGAAGTAAAAAACAAACACCACCCATCAATTGTCAAAAAATAAATAAAACACAGTAAACATCCAAAAATCAAATTCAACAAACAAGAAATTTATGTTTCCATGGTGATAAAACCCAAAAAACATTAAACAAAGAAAAATTACCATTTCCACTGAGATTTAATCAGTATCAGGAAACTGGGATTGCTTGCTCGATCTACTTCCACAGCCTTCAACAACAACCATTCAAATTCCAAAGCCAAATGAAAAGGGAAAAAAGGCACTTATTTTTTCCTTCTGAGTATAAACTAAAATCGATATACGCTTAATTAAACCAACCAATAATAAACAAAAAAATCTTACAAAAAAATTTTGAGAAGCTTAAAACCTTCAACAAAGCAAAATGTTTTTGAAGAAAGAGAATAAGCCTCTCTTTTTTTCTTCTCTCTATTTGGTCCTCTTCTGCTGCTTTTAAAGAATCTTTCGTTGTATTTTTTGTTTTTCTTTTTGATTTCTTTTTGCTTTCCTTAACGTGGTGTGTTCTTTTCTTCCCTCCCACCTCATTGGTTCTGCGTCAAGAATCAATTTTTTTTTTTTATCATAAATCAAGTCAGTAATTTTTATTGCCTGTTGGTTATTAATTTAAAAATTTAATTAATTAGGAAGACATAAGCGTTTCGTTTGGAGCGATTAAGTTTCGATGCTGCCCTTGTTTATCGGTTGAAATTACGGGACAGCTTAAACATGGGCAGAGTTGAGGTCCACTTGGGTTGTCCCGAATCTTTAGCAGAATCAAAATCAAATACCGTTTGGCGGTTTTTTAGAAAGTTGTTAATTACCAACAGATTTAATGTTGGAGAAAAAATTATATGCAACTTCAACTCTCTTTCTAGAAAAAAGGTAAATAAAAATATCAACTCTATATTTTGTTTTCTTCTCTTTTTCTTTTTCTTTTTCTTTTTCTTTTTTGTTAGTATTATTATATTCCTAAATTAAAATTAAACCCATATTAGAGTGATTAACATATAAAATAATATTTAGTCTTAAAAAAATTAAAATATTTTAATTCCAATAAGAGGGGAAACTCCATCTTTTCATTAATAATTTCTATATTTATTTCGATCGTTGAGATTCTCTCATTTATAATATTTATTACTATTTGTTGTTATAAAATATAAGTTCATATTTAAAATTTTACCAAAAAAATTAAAAAAGGTCAAGTTAAACTTTTCTAAATTATAATAAAAGATTCATTAATTTGATTAAATGACCATTTATCTCAAAACATTTATTAATTAATTGTGTACAACATATTATAAGAGTAAAATTTGAAAAAAAAGTTCATTTTTTACCTTTAATTTTTTCAAAACGATTTTATCTCTATAAATAAAAAAAACTACCCTAAAAATTTATATTTATTATTTTTGGACAGAGTGGAATTAGTATTTTATAATGTTGAATTGAACATATTCATTCATTGTAACTAACTCATTTTTTTAAAATTATAAATTGTAAACAATTAAATGGAATTTTGATTTAAATTTTAAAGTAGGGTCCTGTAGTCCCCACTGCCCATGTTTTAATTTAAAATTAAATAAAGTGCAATAATTTAAATGTCAATCATCAATTTATGTAAGTCACAAGGTTCCCTCCAAGACCCAAGTATCCTTTTTGATGTTTTACCAAAAAAGACATTGATGCCATTGTCATGGTTGTTTTTAAAGGACATGCCCTACTTAAAAAAAAAAAAAAAATCTAAAATTAAAGAAAAGCCAATATTTTTTGTTTGAATAGTTTATTGTCTAAAAATACCCTAATTCCTTTGTAATGTAGTTTGGTTATCAATTCATCTATTTGTTGAAAAAAATAAATAAATAAATAAATAAGCTCTTTATTCTATCTTGTAACACCCCTTCCGAGCCACCCGTAAACCCGAATGAACCGGGAGCCGAGCGCCTACAAACTGGTTGACTGTTATTGGCTGACATGCTGAAGTCATGTGTATATTTGAATATAATAGTATGCTGATGTTGTTTTACAAAAATAATGTAATTTATATTTACAAAAACATTGATACTATTGTCAAAAATGAAATGGCCCAACTGTGTGCCCTTGTACATGCCATGAAAAGGATAGACAAAAGATACATATCCAAATGAGTAGCTACCCTAAGACTGAGTCTTCTACAGCATGAACTGCGCAGTTTGTAAGCTGACTCTCTACGGTCCAAACTCAAACCTTGCGAGTTAAACAGGTTAACTCGCTGAGCAAATAAAGCTCAGTGAGATATCTTTCAACAGATAAAAGAAACCAATTAAACACATTACGGCCATATAAAGCCACCACACATCATGATCACTTTCATGATACCTTGATTATCTTTTGTACTGTTTATAATACTTATAATTCATGAAATGTTTGTAAGAAATCTGGTATGGCTCCATAAGGTTATAGATGACCGGAAAGTTGATAAGAAAAAACTGTAATGAAACTTGGTAATGAATTACTAATGCCTTTGGCCTGCTATGGCCCATATATAATCATATCCACTCAAACGGCCTGTAGCCGGAGTAGTATCAAAACTGTATTTGAGGTGCAG